GTAGTGGCTTTTTAGGAGCAAGACTGAGTCCAGCAGCCATCTGTGAAACATACGCATCCATACTTGCTCTCAGCCCTCGTTTCTTTAGGCTCCTAGAGCTGGTCAAGAGCCTTAGGACCTGGGAGCAGAGTACCATGGTGTTGTTTACAGATGAGGAAACTGAGGCCCAGAGGGAAAAGGGACTCTCCTAAGGTCACACGAATAAGCAAAGGGCTCATGATCTTTCAGGGGTGAGGCACGAGAGGGGCGCAGCAGCCCATGATGAAAGACTGAGTCTGTAGGATATGGGTAGGGGATAGCACCAGGCCTTGGCTCAGACGGGGAGCTGGGACCTGATGTACATTCTTTCTCAGGGCTCTGTTACCCCTCCTCTGATACAGATAGTCACCAGAGAAGGGGGCTATCACCCAGGGTAGCTGGGCCCCAGTATCAGGGACACTTGTCCCCCCAGCATCTCCTGGCACCCTCAGGGCCCATGCAGGCCTCTGTCAACCTCCACGTGTGCACTTTCCCTCCCCTGGTCACCGGCTCCTGGTCCAGCCTCTTCATTAACAGAAAGTAGACATGGGAAGCTGACCTTTCCTATTCTCAGGACAAAAGTCAGAAGGGCAGCTGTCTTGTGAGCCTAGAGGCCTCAGCAGGGGTGACTCCTCTTCTTGTCCCCCCACCCATCTCTGGATGGGGATCACTGAGAGAGTAGGGCTGGGGGAGACTCACCTTTTGCCCTTGACTTAGGAATCTGAGAGCAGGGCACAGGCCCTGTGTCTGAAAACTTCATCCCTGGGTGCCCTTCTGAGAGGGCTGGCCAGGGCTGGCTCCTCTCTTTCAGGGATAGGCTCAGCCTGTTATTTCATCATTTGGCTGTGGGTCCCTGCTGGGCATGAAGGGAAAGGGTGGGAAGAGGGGGCTGGTCCTGATTCAGACCCCTAAGTGAGGCGCTCTCTGCCTTCAGATTGGACCCGTTCTGGCCTTTGCTGCTGCCAGCCAGTCCTCCTAGCCCAGGAGCAGCGAGGAACCGTCACTGGAGCCAGCGGAAGGATGCAGGTGTGCCCAGTGGGCCACACCCGCAGACCTTTAGCCCAGTTACTAATGTGTAAGCCCTGCCTGGGCAGGTGTGAACTCTTGTCCTGTGGGAGTGTGTGCCCAAAGGGGCCTACGCTGGGCTGGACAGCTCGTCAGGCCGGGATTCCAGGGCACAGGACCACTGGTTCCTTCTGCCCCAGGACATAGGGTAGGCTTTGCTCCCCTCCTTGCCCATTCCTCCTCCCCCACCCCATTTTCCACTGGGAGAATCACAGGGCAGGATCCTGGTGAACAGGACATGAGGACCAGCATTTAGTCGAGTGGTCAGGGGGAATTCAGGGCCTGGGCCTGCCTTGGACAGGACCAGTTTTTCTCAGTGTCCTGCTTTCTGAGTGTCCTCTGGGGGAGAGGCAGAGCTAGTCTGTTTTCCTCTGTCCCACTTCCTTCCCCATGCCCAGGCCAGCCCAGCAGCCCTGAACACTCCAGCCATGGGCCTGAGCACCTTCCCTTGGTTGCTCTCCCCACCACCAGTTTCCTCTCTGAAAAGCTGACAGACCCAGGGGTCTGGAAGGCGGGGCGTGGCAACATGCCCCTGAGGTGGGGAGAAACCTTAGGGCTCCTGGCTCTGGTTCTTTCCCATGTCGTACCTATTTTATTCATATTTTTTTGTGTAAGTTTTACAATATACTTTCCATATTTGTAAAGTGATACTTGTATGTAATTTATAAAATAGATGTAATTTGGGAGGATTGTTAAAGCATTTTACACGTTGCAGTCCGAGTATTTAGGTAAGCAGAGGTCAGCAAACGTCTTCTGTAAAGTCCAGAGAGTAAATATTTTAGGCTTTGTGGGCCATTTGGCTTCTATGGCAGCGACAGGCCCTGCAGCGAGAGCATGAAAACAGCCATAGATAATAGGGAAATGAGTGGGTGTGGCAGTATTCCAATAAAACTTTATTTCTGGACACTGAAATTTGAATGTCATAGAAAGTTCCTGTGTCAAAATATTATTACTCTTGCATCCCCACCCTCACCCTCACCCCACCCCCTATATTTAAAAAAATGAAGCAATTCTTCTTTGCTCGTGGATCCTGAGCAAATAGGCTGTGGGCTGGCTCCTGGACCGACCAGCTGGCCAACCTCTGCTCTAGATCACTGGTTCTCAAACTTAAGCCTGCTTCAGACTCACCTGGGGAGCTTTTTTTTTTTAAAAAAATTTTTTAATTTATTTTTTTGTTACAGATGTTTCTCCTTTTTTACCCCATTGGCACCCACCTCCCCACCCCACACCCGCCCCGTCCCCGGCTTTGTTGTCCATGTCTATTGGTTATGTATACATGCATATAAGTTCTGTGGTTTATCTCTTCCCACCCACCCCCACCCCTCACCTGGAGAGCTTTTAAAAATGCATAGTGCATGGGAATGCAGACTGGTGCAGCCACTATGGAAAACAATATGGTGTTACCTCAAAAAATTAAAAATTGAACTTCCATTTGACCCAGTGATCTCACTTCTAGGAATATACCCTAAGAAGCCTGAAACACCAATCAGGAAGAATATATGTACCCCTATGTTTGTAGCAGCACTATTTACAATAGCTAAGATCTGGAAACAGCCCAAGTGTCCATCAGTAGATGAATGGATCAAAAAGCTGTGGTACATATATACAATGGAGTACTATGCAGCTATAAGAAAGAAAGACCTCTTATCCTTTGAGACTTCATGGAGGGACCTGGAATGTATCATCCTAAGTGAAACAAGCCAAACAGAGAAAGACAAGTTTCATATGATCTCACTTATTTGTGGAATATAATGAACATAACAGTCTGAGGAATGGGGTAGTCCCAGAGACGTGGAAGTGGGGTACAGACTGACAATCCCCAGAAGAGGGGGTGGTGGGGGAGAGATAAACCACAGAACTTATATGCATGTATGCAAGAACAGTGGACATGGACAACAAACTGGGGGCAGGGAGGGGGCAGGGGGGAATCAGTGGGGGGAAAAGGAGAAACATCTGTAGCAAAAACTAATTAATAAAAAAAATAAATAAATAAAAGTAATTTGCTAACTAGTAAAAAAATAAAATAAAAATGCATAGTGCAGAACCCCAGCCCTAATTTTGTAGATTCTGTGGAAGGCCCTGGAACCTGCATTCTTTATTTTTTTATTGTTTTTTGAGGATATTTTTTCATTGTCTTTGTTTTTAGATAAGAGTGGAAGGGCCCTGGCCGGTTTTGCTCAGTGGTTAGAGCGTCGGCCTGCGGTCCAGAGAGTCTCGGGTTCAGTTCCCGCTAAGGGCACATACCTTGGTTGCAGTTTGTCCCCAGCCCTGGATGGGTCGTGCGGGTGGCAACCACTTGATGTGTCCCTTTCACATCGATGTTTCTCTCTCTCTCTCTCTCTTCCTCTTTCTCCCTCCCATTCTGTCTGAACAAAAAATGGAAAAATGTCCTCAAGTGAGGATAAAAAAAAAGAGTGGAAGGGAGGGAGAGAGAGAAACATTGATACGAGAAAGATACATTGATTGTTTTTTTCCCCCACATGACCCAGACCAGGGCTGGGGATCGAACCTGCAACAACCCTGGCTCTAACCCCTGGGTCAAACCAGCCAGGGCTAGAACCTACATTCTAATAAGTGGCTCAGGTGGGTTAGAAACAGATCATCGGAAGAGCAGATTTTAAGAAAGGCAGCTCTGGAAGGTCTCCAGGGTCTTGGTGGGTTAAATTCAGCCAGCTCTTGCTGAGTGCTAGAGTGTGTGACTTCTCCAGGCCTCTTTTTGCCCATTTTTGGAATCCAACCAGAGGAGGAATCCATTTCCAAGGGAATGTCAGCCTGAAATTTCTTGTCCCCAGAGGCTGGGGTCCTCAGTAGAGCATTCTTCAGCTCTGGCCTCCACTGCTCAGGCCTGTAAGAGGTAGAATCACCTACTGATTAAAAACAGGCTCTAGCCCTGGCCGGTTTGGCTCAGCGGTTAGTGTGTTGGCCTGAGGTCCAGAGAGACCTAGATTCGGTTCCTGCTAGGGGCATGTACCTCAGTTGCAGTTTGTCCCCGGGTGGCAGCCACTCGATGTGTCCCTTTCACATCGATGTTTCTCTCTCTCTCTCTCTTCCTTTTTCTCCCTCCCATTCTGTCTGAACAAAAAATGGAAAAATGTCCTCAGGTGAAGATTAAAAAAAAAAGAACACAGGCTCTGGCCCTGGCTGGTTTGGCTCAGCAGTTAGAGCGTTGGCCCACGGACCGATGAGTCGAGGTTTCAATTCTGGTCAACAGCACATACCTCGGCTGTGATTCATCCCTGGCCTTGGTCAGGCTCATGCAGGAGGCAACCAGTTACTGTGTCTCTCTCACATCGATGTTTCCCTCTCTCTCCCTCCTTCCCACTCTCTCTGAAGATAAACAGAAAAATGTCCTCAGGTGAGGATTAAAAAAGAAAAAGAACACAGGCTGTGGAATTTGCATGCTCTTGGGCAACTCACTTTGCCAGTCAGTGCCCTAGTTTCCCCCTAGTTTTCTTTTCTGTTCAAGGGGGACTGTAATATACCCCCTTGTAGGTGCTGACAGGTCAAATGAGCTGTGATATGGAACACCTAGCACAGTGCCTGGCGCCTAGTAGGTGCTCAATAAACAGAGCTGCTGCTATTGCTGCTCTTGACCAGGGTGGAAACAGGGCAGCCCCCAGCCCCAGCCCAGGCACCGTTCCATTTGTCTGGTGCTTTAGTTTACATGGCCCTTTTCCATCATCTCACTGCCTCCTCCAGCTTCACCTGGGGTAGACACCAATGTCCCATTGGAGACAGGCCTGGCAAGGTCACGTAGCTCGTCCAAGGACACACAGCTGGTACACCCCCACGAGAACCTGGCTCTCTCTGCCTGGAGTCCTCAGGAGTCTCTCTCATCCTGGGATCTTGAGTGCAATGGGAGGGAGCTTAGGTTGGTTTTCTACGGGTCCTTTACCCAGAGCTTTCTGCCCCTGCAGATAAAATACCACGAGGAGTTTGAGAAGAGCCGCATGGGCCCCAGCGGGGGTGAGGGCATGGAGCCCGAGCGCCGGGATTCCCAGGACAGTAGCAGCTACCGGAGACCCCAGGAGCAGCAACAGCCTCACCACATCCCGACCAGTGCCCCAGGTGAGCATGAAGCCTGTGGGAGTAGAGGACCTGAGGCCAGGCCCGCTGCAGCATGGAGAGAATCCTCATTTACACACACACACACACACCCCCGACCACCCCCCACCCCCAGTCCTCACCTTGGGCATGGGCATGAGCATGCGCAGGGCCTGTGATAGGGGAGATGCAGCCCCTGCTGTAGAATACGCAACACCTGCTGGTGTGCAAACACAGACATCGCCTTTGAGAAGTGGGTGTTGAGCAGGGCTTTGGGGGGTGGACTTACAGTACATGTTCGGGTTTAGGGAGAGAGGGAGGAGGCTCTAGGAGGGGCTGGGTTTGTCAAGACAGTTTTTGAGCCCTGTTTCCTCCCTACTTCCAGTTTACCAGCAGCCCCAGCAGCAGCAGGTGGCCTCGTCCTATGGTGGCTACAAGGAGCCTGCAGCCCCCGTCTCCATACAGCGCAGCGCCCCAGGCGGGGGCGGGGTGAGTAGCCCTGGTGGGAGGGGAGAGGTGGGAGGTTGAAGGTCATAGTAGTGAGGCCTGGGGCAGCCAGAGATGGGGTGCCTAGGGAAGGACCTAGGTCGTAGATTCTTCTTAGAAACTCTACCCACCAGGCCTGGGTTTCCCTGACCTTTGACCCCAGTTCCTATGTCATCTGCAGGTGATAGGGATCTCAGTCTCTAGAGCAGACGGGAAATGGGGATAGGGGGCAGAGCCTGGGCTGGGACTGGGGCCCTGTGTTCTAGCTGGACCCCTCGCCCAGGTTTTCTTCCTCCAGCTCCCTGGGAGCACATGAAGTACCTTTCTGCTTGGGGCCACCCAGGCCTGGGCCCTGCTCCCCACTCTTCATCAGGATGACCCCCTCTCCCATATTCTTCAGTTCTCAGCTTGCTCCTGCTTCTGAGGGCCCCTCCCAACCCATCTCATGTCAAGTGGTCTCCCCTAAAATTTCTATCATGTCACACTTTCCAGCTTAAAGCAGTTCTCTGTTTATTAACTTCCGTCTGTGCCCTGCACTTGAAGCTCTCTGTGGGCAGGGCATTGTCCCTGTGGTTCATGTGCTCTGGGCCAAGCACAGAGCGTGCACTGGTCAACTTTGCTGAATAAGTGAATGAGCAAAGTAGGAAGTGAAGTGTTCTTACCAGTTCCTAGAGTTGAAGTTCCTGGTGTGTAAGTCCTGCTTCTCACAGGTGTGGCTGAGCCACATTTGTTGAGCTGGCTGAGCTCAGCTCTACTGCTCTGGGTGCCTAGAAATTCTGAGTAGCTCATGAAGGAGCAAGAGGGACAAAACTTAGAGAGATAAAGTAGCTAATTTCTCACATACTAGGCATGTCTTGGACAGGAGAGGTATGGTTCTGAATAAAAGACCCCCTTCTTGCCCTCTTGGGGCTTTCATTCCCGTCTGAGAGACAAACGAGAACAATAAGTAGATATACAACAAAAGGTCTGATAGCAGCACATGTTAGGAAGAAAATGACAGCAGGGTAAGGGGAGAGAGAGCAGCAAAGTCACCAATAGCATGAAGTGAGTGGTGCAGGGAGTCCGGCAAGTCAAAGGCCCTGAGGCAGGAATATGCTAGGGACGTTCAAAGACCAGCAGGAAGGCTATGGGGACTAGAAAGGGAAAGAGGATAGGAGAGGAGGTCAGATTCTGCAGGAACTTGTAGGCTACAGGAAGGCCCTTGTGACTGGTGAACTATGCAGAGTGAGGGGTTTGAGCTGTGTTTTTAAAAGATGGCTCTAGCCGCTTGTGTGGGGAAGAGGAGTAGACAATTGAGGGCAAAAGTGGGAGATGAGTGAGGAGGCTGTTGCAGAATGCAGGCAGAGATGGTGGCTACTCGGCCCAAAAGGTGCAGGCAGAGTGGGTAATCAGAGAGACCAAAGTCACCTTGTGAGGACTGGGACCTCTCATCCCATAGACTTGGGGGCTAATGGAGTAGGTTTCTGTTGCGTGGGGCGGGGGGTGGGGGGGGGAGTTTAAAATTTAGTGCTAAAGAGGATGGGGAAATCTTTGAAGAATTTAAAGCCGAGTAGTAATACAATCAGGTTTGCATTTTAGAAAGTTCCCCTGAAATCACAATGGATGGACAGTTGGAGGAGGAAGACCAGAGACCAGAGACAGGCGGGCAGGGGTGCTGGTAGTGGGGTGGAGCAGTGGATACAGAAGGTTCCTTGGGGCACCCAGTCCTGGACCAGCTGGCATTTGGCCCCACTTCTGGCCGCATGCAGATCCCAGGGCCTGGCCTGGGGGACCACAAAGGCTGAGCTGACCCCCAGAGATAAGTCAGTGTCAAGGGCAGTAAGGTCAGAGGACTTAGAATCCTGTCCACCTCCAAGACCACGGTTGCATTTCATGGGCTTTTGCCAGACATTTCCTAGAGCTTAAGTATACGAATTTGGCTGAAGTTGCAAGGTAAAGTCTCTTGTGTCACCTGGAGGTTTTTCTCCCAAGAATAGGTCTTTGTCCTGAGTTTGGGAGTGAAGCCAGACTTATCACAGCTTCAAAAAAAGAAGAAAGACTGGTGCTTATAATAATAATACAGATAATAGCATACAGGGCATATCATATTTTGAAACACTAACTGGCATCGTGTCCATGGGACCTTACTGCATCCCTGTATCGAGAGGTGGAGCAGGGCTGTTGTAACCTCAGTCCCTGTCTTGTGCCTGCCTCTTAGTAGATGCCAAATAGATTGGACGCTCTCAGAAAGTGAGACACAGAAGTGAGAAAATTTAAGGCAGAGCCCAGCCCTTCCCAGTCTCCCAGCTCCAGGCTCACTGCCCACCCAGGCTCTGCTCCATGTTCCGCACAGTGAGGAAGGAAGGCTGGGGTCCCGGGGAGCTGGGCCCTGGGCTGACTGTGCCGCCACCTGCCACCCCTGCAGAAGCGGTACCGCGCTGTGTATGACTACAGCGCCGCCGACGAGGACGAGGTCTCCTTCCAGGACGGGGATACCATCGTCAACGTGCAGCAGATCGATGACGGCTGGATGTACGGGACCGTGGAGCGCACTGGTGACACGGGGATGCTGCCGGCCAACTACGTGGAGGCCATCTGAGCCCGCTGGGCACCACCCTGCCCCATCCTTCTTCAGTGCATTCCACAGCATCACATCTGTCCTGGGCGTGACCTGTCCACCCTTCAGTGTCTCTGTGTTTTTTAAATCTGCGACAGCTTGTTTCTTCCCACCCTCCTTCCAGCTTCTTTTGCCAACTGAAGCTTGTTCTGCCACTTTCATGGGCTCCTTCCTCTGGCAGGTTTTCCCCTTGACGAACTTCTTGTTTTCCTCTCTGGATGGAACAGGTGTGGACCTTTCTAGGGGAGGCCGGGGCCCATGCGGCTGACCTGGAGTGGGAGACTCATTGGCTCCCAGGCCTCTGCCTTCTCCTTTTTGGCCACCTCAGACCCTCCCGCCCATCTCCTCACACACCCAAACATTCCAGGGCTGGGGTGAACCCCAGACCCGCAGGACTCCCGGGGGAGGGGCTCCATGCATTCCTGGGAGTGGGGCCCCTGGGATGGGGGACTGCTAGTGTGTAGGCACCAGTAAGAAGGCTTTGCTTCTCAAAGATGGGGCTGCTGGCGCTCTGAGGGGTCCCCTCCCCACCCTCTCCCCTTCTCAAAGACAACAAAGGAGGATAAAGTTCCCACTTTGGGGTTCATTCATGCTCCCCACATGTGTTCCTCCTCACACTGTGATTTTGTTCTCCTGCCCACACAGACCCGGGGTGGGCTAGGAGTTCCCCAGGAAGCACGGCTTGGGTCAAGTGCTGGCCTTTCTTACTTTTAGGGACAGCTGCAGGAAGGAAGGGAACAGGGTGTTCCCTCCCATTGCCCCTTGTTTCCTCATTCTCATCCCCAGCCTCCAGGGACCCTGGCTTGCCTCCTTGGCTGGAAGCCAAGATCCTGAAAGATGGAGCAAGGAAGCCTCAGGCCTCTTGGCCTTGGAGGCCCAGCCCCCTGAGATCTGGGCTGGGTGGGCCAGTCCTCTCTACTCATGTCCTCCCTTCCCCGGCCCGCCCCCAAGTGCACCAGAACTGTGCACAGCCGCCGGACGCTCTGTATCTCCAGGACTCACTGAGTGGGAGAAGTGTCTGCAGGTGTGTCCGCTGGTGTGCGCATGAGCGAAGGGGCAGGGTGCAGCCTGCAGAAGTCTCTGGGCTTGTGTGAGGGTCCACAAAACTGTTTTCCCTGATATTTTCCTTAAAACCCACATTGAGGAGTCGGGGGAGGCCCTAAGGGAGAGAAATTCCTTGTGTTTTCTTTGGAATGAAAATTTCTCCTCTGTCTCCAAATGAAGAAAGCCCACCTACCCCTCTTGCAGTGTGCTGGGAAGACGTAAGGGGATGATTGAAGATGGGTGGGAACTGGTATTACAGCCTGCAGGGGAAGGGGAAGGGGAAGGCTTTGTGGCTCCAGGCATATTCTCTCCGCCATCTCTGTGTCCTGTGCTGCATAGTGGGGGCCAGAGGACCCTGTGTTACCCACACTGTGGGTGCCTTACTCTGGGGGCTTCCCCCCCAGGCTTCTCCCTCACTACCTAAAGCCCCCTTGAGGTGTTGGGAGAGGGTCCCAGGGCTACAAAACTGGAAGCACAGACCCCAGGATGAGGAAGGGAAAGATGGTGCTATCTCCAAGTCCCTTCTGTCCCTTGCTGGTGGCTGTGACAACTTTTGTCTGGCTTTATTCATCTCTAGGCTTTCTCCCAGAGTCCGCTCAGGCCCCATAGCTGACATCTCTGCATCCTTGTTCCCTGTGGTGGTGGCTGCAGGCATAATGAACAAGTCCTCTCTGCTTGTGAGTTTAGTTGGGAATATTTACCCCAAATCAAAGAGCTGAGGAAATGACTGTGGGAGGAGGAGCCCCTGCCTGACCAATCCCTTTTCCTGCTTGGCTCCAGGGGGCAGATGAAGGGCCTCAGACTGGGCCATTTGGGTGATGAGAGCAATATTGGAAGCCTTGGGAGAGGTGCTGGTCCATTCCATTTCCTCTTGATTTCAAAGCACAACATAGATTCTGGGACCAAAGTCCAGAGACACAGGCTGTTGGAGGACCTGTGGTTTGGAGGGTGGTAAGAGAGTGGGAGGAGGGCCTGGAAGAGCAAGAAATAGCCTTTCACTCAGCTTAATTTTTCTTCTAAAACAAGGCAAGTCAGCCCCTGGAATCTTGCTGCCAGGCCCTCTGCTCCTCCCATCCTAAAAATAGGGGACTTTTTCTTATACAATCCAGAGAGAGGAGGGACTGTCAACTGGTGCTGAGGGACCCAGGGGCTGCTGGGAGTCCTTGTTCCTTTCCAGAACCTTCCACCCCTAGAAGAGCACAGAACCTGAGGGGTAGGTTGAGGCCCTAGTCTTTTCTTACACCTCACAGAGGTCTTTTAGCCAATATCCCAGGAAAGAACATACATCAAAGCTAGAATGTGAATATAACGTTAGTGGACCAATAATAAAATGCAAGAAGCCCAATGGTGAGAAAAGTGAATTCTCAACACAGCTTCCTGTTTCCTTCCTCATGTCCCTCCAGGGAAAACTATTGCTTCATTTCTGCCTTTTCCCCCTTCACATATGCACTTTGGGGCTTTTTTTTTTTTAACAGCTGGAAAAAATACCACCCCACAAACCTGTATTTAAAAAGAAACAGAAATGACCATGTGAAATTTGCCTCTGTCCAAACATTTCATCCGTGTGTGTGAAGCCGTCATTCATCTTTTTATATGGGGTGGTTGTCTCTTCTTGGTCTGTTGGGTCCCCTCCCTCGTGGGCTTGTGCTTGGGATCAGATCTTTCTGGCCTGTTATGATTCTGAACATTTGACTTGGACCACAAGTGGATCTTTCTGGTGACTCAAATAAAAGTATAATTTTTACCTGCGGACTTAGTTTTCTCTTTGGCTCTGACTGCTGCTGCTGCTGCTGCTGCTGCTCTGTGTGTGTGTGTGTTCCATCTTGGGGCATTGGCCTGTCACCCTCCTAGGAGCCCTGCCATTCTTTAGGGAGAGAGACCAGCCTAGAAACTGTCAGCCTAGAGTGGCAATTTGCCTTAGCACCTTCTTCCTCCTGGTTGAGAACTCCCCACCAGTCTGCTCCTGGCTACATCCCTCTGCCCAACTTGGTGACACTCCCAGAAACTTCCCTGAGTTCCCATATTCCTACCGTCTGACTCTTCGCTATGCACCTGTCTCCCCACTAACCGGGGCACTCACAGGGCAGGTAATGGGTCTAATTCATCTTTAAACCTCCAGTTCTTGTTCAAGGCCAGGCACAGATGCTCAGCAAATATTTGTTGAATTAATGAGTGAGCTCAGCTGGCAGACAGTTCTAGCTCTCTGCCTGCACCTCTGAGGCACCCACTTGAGGAATGAAATGATGGAGGGACTGGGACAGTCTGTAGTGGGATAAAACAGATGACACCGTCTGTTAGGTGGTCTGACAACCCAAAGCAGTATTCACAATGCCTTACAAATGATCTTTAACACATTTTTTTATTTGATCTTATTAGTCTCTGAGAGCAGTAACTACCATGATGTCCATCTTATAGATGGGGTTCACTGAAACCCAGGAAGGCAGTGGTTGGGGGAGGTCACAGCTGGACTGGAGGTCTTAGGACCCCCAGTGTGATGCTCTTGGCCTCATGCTACCTTGCTAGTGTGGGCTGTGTACCCAGGCCCCTTGCACGTCTCATTTTAGTATCTTTCTTGTTCCAGGTGCCCCAGGTCTAATATCTGACCAGAAGGCCAGGCAGCCTGTCCTCTGTCCGGTTGGGAAGCAGGCAGTGGTAGAGAAAGAATCCAGACCCTTCAGCACTGGCTCAGGGCCTCCAGTCAGCCTCACGTCCAGCTGTTTTGTGGAGAGGGGCATTTCCCACTTGGGGCTGAGAATGCAGACATTCTCTAGCTTCAGGATAACAGCAGGGTGGGGAGGAAAAGGGCTTCCCCGAACTGAGCCTGAACTGAGCTTTCCTAATGAAGGGAATGATGATAAGAGAGTGACAGGCCATGTCAGAGTGCTGAGCAGTGTGGGGAGTGTCAGAGGTGGCACTGGGTGGGATAATTAAAGATAATACTGACACCTGCTTCTCCTCTCAAGGAGTTGGCTGCCTAATATTTTTCCACTAGAAGGGAATGAGTTGGCAAATCTTGCCTCCTGTAGGCCTGGCCCCTTTTGTCTGAGAGCTGCAGCTCCCTCTCCCCAGGAGGCTTCAGTTACTTTAGCAATTTGAGGGGGCAGTCAGTCTGCTTGGGAGGGAGTCAGCTCTCTGCCTCCTGGGGATGGGCCTGTGGGAAGAGTCTCTAGACCCCTTCTAGAAGCGGCCTAAGTTCCTGAGACCTAGCATGAGGAGGGGGTGGTTACTAACATTTAATCCTCGGGCCCTTCAAAAGAATTATTTGGGGGGGGTGGAGCAATGGACACTAAGCCTCAGAGATGTCACAGGAAATTTTTTCAATTTAATAGGAAATAATTAAGACCTAAAAAGGCCCTGGCCGGTTTTGCTCAGCAGTTAGAGCATCGGCCTGCGGTCCAGAGAGACCCGGGTTCCGTTCCCGCTAAGGGCGCGTACCTCGGTTGCAGTTTGTCCCCGGCCCTGGTTGGTTGTGTGGGTGGCAGCCACTCGATGTGTCCCTTTCACGTCGATGTTTCTCTCTCCCTCCCACTCTATCTGAACAAAAAATGGAAAAAAAATGTCCTCAGGTGAAGATTAAAAAAAAAAAGGCAACACAATACATAACTGAGTGTCCACCACCCAGCTTAAAAAATAAAACATCAATTTTTCCCTTTCCCCTCAGAAGAAGCCACTTGAATTTGCATTTCCAGACACTCTTACTGCACAGGGATGGGCCTGAGGCTTCTTTAGTGCCCTCTCTGAAGAGGATACAAAAGAGAACAAGAATGTGGGTAATGACCACAAAGAAACAAGAAATAGAGAAGAAGGAGAGACCTCTGGTGTTCACACTGTAAATGGAGAGTGATCTGAGCAAAATGCCTCACAACCTAAGCAGCTCAGGTAGGGCTGAGGGGCATGTCAGACTACGAAGGTGGGCCAGTCTAGGGCAAGAGAACAATTATGAACTCTGGAGTGTGCAATCCTAGTTTTGGATCTTGGTCTCTGCCATTTCCAACAAACCATTGGGCAAGTTCCTGCCCAACTCTGAACCTCATCAATAAAAGACCTGTAGGAGGTTGAAATTACACCACGTGTGCAATATCTGGCATAGTCTAGAAATCCCATAAATGTTAGCTCCATCCCAGAGATGCCAGCTGAGACTCACATGAGACCTTTGTCCATGTCCCTCCATAAAGAGAACTTTACAGCTTGCCAAAGGCCCACCCAACTCCCAATCATTATTTTTTCTGAGGTAATTTGCTGGGGATGTGCGAGAAGAAAAGGAAGAAAGGCAGCCAGGAAGATTCATTTCTAAGGGATCTGAATAGAGATCAGATCTCCTCTTCCGTCCATATCATGCAGATTCCACTTAGATACAAAGGTATGGGATTGAGTTCCTGGGGAGAAATTGAGCCTCTTCAATTCTGCTTGGTCTCAACCCAGCAGTTCCTTGGTTACCCGCTCCGGGGCTTTATGATTGGTTGGCTGTGGTATGTGGAGGGGTGGGGTAAAGTAAGCTGCTGATGGAGCTGCAGCATCCCTTCGTCTCTGGCCTTGGAAGGGGGAGGGGGAAAATGAGGGCTGAACAGTGGAGGGAGGAGGGAGCCATTTCTCTCCACTGACTGCAGCCTCAGTGCTCACAGCTCACGTTTCCCTGGAATCCAGAGGCCTCCTCAGCTAAGGACTCCATAATGCTGGATATTTTCATTCTGATGTTCTTTGCCATCATAGGCCTGGTCATTCTCTCCTACATAATCTATCTGCTCTAGTGGCCTTCAGCTGCGAGGGAGCCCACAGGAGAACAGCTCAGGGGGGAAGGATGAAGCTGACTGGCGGAGCATCCTGCTTGCTGACGCACCGGTGGATTTTTGCTTCTGGTCATTATTTCGGGTATTGATTCAAAAACAAAATTAAAAGAAATCTTGTTTTTCTATTGTTTTTCCTCAGATGCATTGATGTAGCATTTCTCATACCACTCTGAAAAGAGTAAGAAATGTCAACTTCTTTCTTTGCGACCTAATTTAAAGTACTATTATTTTTTTTTTAATGGAAAATGAAACCCACAATGTGAAGGATTTTTAGGTAGAATGAGCCGGGAGTGGTGTGCGTGGTGGGAGGGACTATAATTTCATAGTTTTTTTTCTTCAAGTTGCTCAAACTCCAAACTGTTCATTCTTTCCCGGTAATTAAAGGTAAAAACACACCATTATATGCCAGCAGAGTGGTTATAATTATGCTTGCATAATGGCATTAATTAGTGACTCATTTTCACTTGCGGATGAAATAGGAAATGAAATTTACTTAGGAGTGGGCTTATGGGGTGGGGGAGATGTCTATTCTTTTCCAACTATGGGGTTTGACGGAAAGGAGAGAGGAACTCCTATTTCTTTTCTTAGTCCCCAGAGACTAAGATCAGTAGTAGGAACTGAAACCTTTGCTGCCATTCCCATCTGAGCCTTGTTTTTTTCTGGTTTTCCCACAGTTCCTGGTCTCCAGTCCAACAAGAGGCCTCTTATCAACAGCAGCTGTCCTGCCGCCCAACAGACCTCTTCCAGAGCCTTCCGGATATGGTTAACCCCTATCAAGCAAGGGGCTTTTTGAGCTCAAAGGCTGAGGCACTTGGCTGGAACATCAGGAATTTATGGGCTTGGCTGGCAGGTGTGCGTGCGTTTGAATTATAAATTAAGAAAGAACACAGAAAGCTGAAATGTAGACACATTAAAATGATCATGGAGAACTTCTCAAAATTCATTTTGATAGTATAGCCTTTCCTTAGGTCTTTCCTTTCCCCTATGCAATGGTGTTCCTTTGTAAGTCCAAGAGCACGTTGTCTCTCTTTACCTAGTCACTTTATCACTGTCTTCATAGATTGCATAATCTGGGGCTGTGTGGTGTCCCTTGTCTTCGTCTCTAGCCAGAAGGAACTTGTCATTTGAGTTTTTAAGATTTATTTTCCCCACTCTCTACCACTTGTGTTCCAGCTTCTCATTTAAAAAGAGAAAAGGTTATATAGTTCTCATTCTTTCTGCTTGGCTAAGTCATAAATTATTGAAACAAGATGGCTATACTTCTCTTGTTATTTGGGAAAAATCTCTTATTCCAAAATAAATGTTCTTTGTTTTTTCATTGTCAAATGTTCCTTTTCTGGAAAAAAATCTTGCAACATATTTTCTGTCCAATTAAGGTTGAAGAAACCATATATTTTGGGGTCCAGAGAAGATTTGGACCCCAAGTCCAGGGTATCTATTCCTTTGAAAAATCCATTACTGTTCCACATTTGATTTTCTAAGCTTAAAAATAAACAAGAAAGATGAACTTAATAGTTTTTATTTATAGCATTTTGCTCAATTTCCATGCTTTAAAAATAAAATTGAGGCAGTATAACATAATGTCACAATTAAAATGAAAAATTTGCATTTTAGAATTCTGGCCAAGAGAAAACACTGTTTTAGAAGCTTTGTCTTGGCAACAAATTATGTGACTGTCAATAAGTCATTGTATCTTTCAGGACTTCATTTTATTCTCACAGATGAACGAAATGGACTAGAAAATTGTTAATGTCCTTTTCCATTTTAAAATTCTACAATTCTAAGGTGCATTATCTTGGGAAATTACATATTTGAGAACAGAAATCCCATGGAAAAAAACTCTCAATAGTTATCAGTAATCCACTTTTCTGCTCTCCTCAAATGACATTTTGTAATGAAAACTCAACTGCAAAACTTTTTTTTTTCTTTTTTATCCTCACCCGAGGATATTTTTGCATTTATCTTCATATAGAGCAGGAGGAACAGAGGAAGAGAGAGATGCGAGAGAGAAACATATCGACTGGCTCCCACCCACACAACCCCAACCGGGGCCAGGGACAAACTGCAACCGAGGCACATGCCCCTAGGGGAAACCGAACCTGGGTCTTTCTGGTCTGTTGGCCAACTAACTGCTGAGCCAAACCAGCCAGGGCTGCAAAACTCTTTTTTGGCACACTGTGAGGAGAAAATGGCTATTTTTTACCCCAAGCATATATCAGTGATACTTTGCCTAAGCTGTTCAGGGAATATTAATAAGTACAATACTACATGGTGGTATGTAACAAAACAGGTAATCTGACAGATGCACTAATGCAAAAAGCATGGCTCTAACTATTAATATATTCAGGGATGATCTTCAGTTATCTGTCGAGTGAGTCCATGACATGACATTTCCTAGGAAACATTCCTCTGACTCTTTGGCATGGCTTTGTGTTTCAAACTAAAATTTTCTTCTTCAAGTCAAGATAGCAGCTCCCTGTCCTTACCTAGGTAATTAGGGCAAGTGTCAGTATTTTGGAGGGTTCCAAGGAACACAGTTAATTATCATGGTGTAATCTTCATGGTATAGCCTTGAACCAAGCTTGCTCTGAAGTCTTTTATGAGGTCAAGGCTCTTCAATCTGTATCCACATAATGTTGAACAGTGAAAACAATCAGCCAATTTCAGTTATACATCAGTGATATATACCACTAGCACCGGGCACAAGATAAGGACAGAAAGATTACCCATATTTTCAGTTACTTGTGAAATAATTACATTTTGGAAGAAATGTTATGACTTTGTGCTTGTATCTATGCCATAACATGGCAGTTTATAACTGTTTTACAGTGTTCATCATTTTGACAATTTCTAAAAATTTCATATTAAAATTTTTTGTATATTAAAACACTAGAAATGTTACTTCTGTAATATAAGGTTTTGTGTAAATTTTACAAATCTGTGTCATAGGGCAAGTATGTCCTATGAAATGGGGATTATACTTGGCCCACATTAATGTAGTAAAAACATTTTTAAATAACTGTAGATTACTTATAAAAAAGTAATGTGCATAATGCTAAAAATCATTATATTAATATCTGCTTTCTTTTTCTTTAATTTTTAATCCACACTCAAGGATATTTTTTTCATTGATTTTTAGACAGAGTGGAAGGGAGGGAGGGAGAGAGAGAGAGAAACATCAATGTGAGAGAGACACATCGATTGGTTGCTTCCTCCACAATGCCCAGGCTAGGGCCCGGGATTAAAGCTACAACCCAGGTACATGCCCTTGACTGGGAATCAAACTGGTGGCCTTGCAGTCTGCATGCCAATGCTCTAACCATTGAGCAAACTGGCCAAATACCTGCTTTCTTGATTAAATATAAGGGGTTTGTGCCCTGGCCTGTTTGGTTCAGCAGTTAGAGAGTCAGCCTGCGGTCCAGAGAGACCCGGGTTTGGTTCCCGCTAAGGGCACGTACCTCAGTTGCAGTTTGTCCCCGGCCCTGGTTGGTCGTGTGGGTGGCAGCCACTTGATGTGTCCCTTTCACGTCAATGTTTCTCTCTCTCTCTCTCTTCCTCTCACCCCGCCCACTCTGTCTGAACAAAAAATAAGAAAATGTCCTCGGGTGAGGGTAAAAAAAATAAAATAAAATAAGGGGTTTGCATGGAAAAGTGATGTATTTTATTTCAGGAGAAAGAGGATATATTTTAAGAAACAGTTAAATAATGGAAAGATAAATGTTACTAAGTTAGAATCGTCTAAGACTCATTGCTCTGGGTATACATACCAAACTTTCTGTGTTTGCAACTTAGCATGATATAATTTATTAAATTTTAGAAAATTTGTTTGTTTTTAAAAGGCTTAAAATTAGCATTATTCAAACTTCAAAATCCCTTGAGAATTATTTTAATTTAAATTAGTAAAAAATAATGGGAATTTCCCTTAATAAAGTACTAACTGCCACTTCTGGAAAAGGAGAACAGAAAAAAACTATGCCCAATGGCCCTGGGAAGCCAAAAAAGAGCTTGACTCTATGAGTGACAAGGTAGAAATCAAACATGCCTTCTGTAAGACATCAAAGTTCCATATCTGGATTATACATAGGGTGAAATAAAAATTTATATTGCACATTTCGTGTGGCATTTCCCACACTGAAATATTAATATAACAACAGTCCCAGATTAATGAAAACTCCTGGGAATCCCAGCTGAAGCAAACATTTAAGCAAATAAACTAATAAGAAAACCATAGATCACTTTTATAACAAAAAAATAAATAATAAAGTACTAAATAATACTTGAGCCCTGGCTGGTTTGGCTCAGTGGTAGTGTTGACCCGCGGACCAAGGGGTCTTGGGTTTGATTCCGGCCAAGGACCTCAGATACGGTTCATGCCCGGCCCTGGTTGGGGTCGTGTGGGTGGTAACCAGTCAATGTGTCCCTTTCATGTGGATGTGTCTCTCTCTCTCCTTTCTCTCCCTCCCACTCTATCTGAAGATAAATAGAAAAATATCCTCGAGTGAGGATTAAAAAAAAAAGAATAGTTGAAGTGGAAAATTATCTTTATAAATTACATGCTTTGTGTTTATCAACCTCTAAATGTTTGCCAAGCCTAGAATGGTCTCTTCTAAATTTGTTTAAAATAGATGGGAGCAAAACTAAAATAAAATCAAAGTCATATATAAAGGGGGAAACAGAAAAGTCATTGACACAACTTCTATTATAAACTCAAATATACTAAGAAATAGTTAACAACTTCTATGTTCTTAGAAAAACACTGTAAGATCTTGTAGTCATGGGTAATTGTAGGTGATACACAATACTTAATTACATATTTTGTTTTTTGAAACTGGTGTTAAACTATAATTGTAGCATATCTATTTTAGCAGCAATTGAAATATTAATTGGTTGGGATTTTGGTATTCACACCGGATAGCAAAATAGTATAGAATACTGTTCTACTTACAGATTGTTATACAATTTATGAGTTGTTGCTAGTAAATGAAATTTATTTAACTAAGATATACTATAATATTAAGCATAAATATACATAAATATATAGCTAATTGCAACATTATTTTATGTTAAGACATTTAAAATTTTGATCATGGTAGAGCTATAATTAACAGCTTAAATAAAAATAAGTTTCTCCACAAGAAATAATTTTAAAAAATTATACATTCAATGACTTGTGAAATGACAAACTCTGGACAAGTTAGAAATATTTCTAATTTTAATTTTATTTTAATATAAATAACAACTTAAATAAGTTAGCAAATATTAAATATTTAAGTATCAAAGACATTTTACCATAAACACAATACTTTAAAAATAACAATACATATCTTTCAGTTTTGTGCACCTTGAAGAAAGCAGTGCTCGTTGAATGCCTACAAGTATTTGTGTTTTGTTTTGTTTTTTATCCTCACCCAAGGACATTGTTCCATTTTTTTGTTCAGATAGAGTGGAAGGAAGAGAGAGAGAGAAACATTGAGTGGCTGCCACCAGCGACCCAACCAGGGCCGGGGACAAACTGCAACCGAGGTACGTGCCCTTAGTGGGAACCAAAACCGGGTCTCTCTGGACCGCAGGCTGACGCTCTAACCACTGAGCCAAACCGGCCAGGGCTATTTATGTTCTTTTTCTTTAAATTTCAAAGAATTTCAAGGATTAAACTAAGTTTTCTTAAAGTCCCTACTTACTTAAACAATTTTCTGGAGTTATATTTGATTTCTTGATAAAAAAAAAAAGTATTCTTTGTTAGTCCTTTGGCACTTTTTTTAGCCTAGAGAAGACTGACTGTCCAATACAACTAACTGTCTTTGAGGTCATCTTTCCTATTTTAGTGATGTCTCAATAAACCAAGGAGCCTATGTCTACAGCCTGATTTCTTACAGGTTTCACAGCTACCTGCTAGTGAAATTGGTAGAGAAGTTACATGGCTAGTAAGGTATCGATAACCTAAGAGGCTTTGTGTTTCTACCCTTCACAATATTTATTGACATAAAAATCTGTAATCATATAATTCAGTACTATTCACTTAAAGAGATTAACTTGGGTAATAACCATGTAAAGAGATTAATGTTTATTTTTTATTGACATAAAATGGTTCCTCCAGTTGCTCCTTCTGCTGGGCACCTCACACTTGTTCTAATCTCCAAAGGTGAATAATTATCCTAACACTAAAATCTTTGTTATTAACAGAACAACTGGAAGCTGAACTAAGTCATCAGATGGGAAAGGTGTGAAATAGGTGCCTAATGTTCATGTTATAGAAAGCAGCCTTGAACTCTTAAATGCCTGAGAGGCTTCTCAAGCATAGTAATTTATTGCCTGCATTGTGAAAAGATAAAGTTGAGGAGTCAGAAGGGCACAAGAAGGAATTATCCAAAAAAGCATAAAGAGTAGATATTTTATGGTTTCATAAGGTACCCAGTATTTAAAAAAAGATATAAACTTTAGTTTCTAAGAAAAATAGCATCCTTAATTTGTTATTAGTACTATTAAGGTGTCGTGTGTGTGCACCCGTGTGTGTTTAGAAACAATAGTTAAGATAAATATAATGCTGTGTCATTGAGGTATTTTTGGCTTGCCTTCTAGTGGAAGTAAAAATAATCCTACAAATCAAAGTCAAAGACTGAGGAATTCACTATCAAAAGGAAAAAAGGAGCTAGAAGCCCAGGTTCATCTTCTAATTTAGAAAAAAGTACAGGATAAATGATTTGACTTGCTAGTAGTTTATGTTGTTATGCTATTATGACTGTTCTAGACTTAGTTAGATATGAACAGTCTCCTAATGTTTTTAGGCTATTCATTTTGCACATGCTCCTTTTTTGTGGCAATATGATTGCACATACCATCACTTAAACATCAATATTGTTGACACATGCTTTCGCAAGTTAAACCCCCACTTTAGAATTTGACATCACACTTTATTCCTAATGACAAATGTATTCAGCAAAAAACTGGACTGCTGAATTGGTAGCAAGATGATATCATTTATCTAATGCACCCAAAGAATGAATCAGATTTTTTATGTTCCAAATTTCTGGGGAGAATGAAATAATAATCTTATAATTATCGAGAATAATGCAATAATGTGTTTTTAAAAATTTACAGCAGCAGTCATGTCAGTTCAAGTGTGTAATGAGATTCAAGTCTAGGTAAAAAAAAAAATCTTTTAAATCAAACCATTCTTCTTTTGTAAACTTTCTGAAAATAACTGCTGTAGAGACTTGGATAATTCAAGGAACACGAGGAAACTTCACAGTGCCAAATTGCTTCTCTAAGAGAATGAAACTTAACTAATATCTATCTAGTAAAATATTTAAAATATTCACTATTTATATTAAAAATTTTACTTTTTTTCCCTTAATTTTTATTCTTTTTCCTCAAATAATTTAATGGAGTATATTCTCAACTTGGAATCACCAATGTTTTGATAAATAAACGGATTAGGTTTTCCAACGCATGTATGAGAAAAGGAGTGAGAGAGAAAAGAAAAAGCTAACTAAGATGTTGTTTTGTACTCTGGTATCTGCTAACTTTGAATCTTCATAATTTAGTGGTGAATTGGAAGGAAGAAAATGAAATTGAGAGGAAGAAAATGAAACCAGGATAAAAGCAAGAACTTTGTTTTTTGCATAAATATGCAAATGCTAAACTCTGGAGAAACAATTCCTGCCACTGATGGAATTATAGTTGGACAATCCATCATAGAAAGGTAGTTAATTTCCAACCATCCATAAAAGGTTAAGTGCTTATGCTATTGAAATATAGTAAAATCTTGTTATCAAAATTTATATTTTCTCCACAATTTTCACTCTTCCTCAATCCTATTAAATCTCTTACTGAACGCTTCTTACCAACTACTTGAGAATTTCCCACAATTTATAGCCTATTTCTGCAGGTAATTTCTATATCTACTAATGTTTCTTCCCTTTACCAGCTCAAGAGGTGAGTTAAATCAAGGGCTTAGGAAAAGAAAGCCAGCCTCTGAAAAGTCAAATGGGAAAGGGTGTGTCTTCAGCAGAAGTAAAATGATCAAACCCAAGGAGAAGAAAATAGGACATCCAGGATTATTTCAGCCCTATAAGGCACTGTTATTTTCTACTTTAATAGTAAAAGTGGTGGTGGCAGATGTTAGACTGAAATACTCCTGGGGCTTCTTGGAGTTCATTTACTTGAGTGAAGAAAAACCCCACTCATGGGCTGCTTTAACCATCCATGCTTCCAGTTTCCTCAAGTTCTACTCTTTAAGATAGGGAGAAAAGCTTTAAGGAGAAGTGCAAATTATTTGTGCATATTATGCTGGCAGCAGAATAGGTACTTTTCTTTCATTTTATATTTTCTCTTATTTGCAACATTTTATTCTAATCCCCAGGAAATAAAAGATGATTTGTATTAAAACAATATATACCCCTATGTATAGACTTTTTGTATGATTTGTCTTAAATATATATGTATATTTGTATATATGTACATACATACATATATATATGGAGATGTATACACACACTTCCTTTGGTTTTTGATCTGTTAATTCATACAAAATGTGACAAAATATGTTTTTTGTAATTATATGCCAAGAAGGTGGTTAAAAATGTGATTTATATCTGCACATTCCAAAACACCATATTGCAAACCTTCACAAATCATTCTAGGCTATGTCTACACAACCTAAGCAAAGTGAACAGATACATACTGTTAAATGAATTTGGGTCTGCTCAACTATAAAGCAAAATTTTCTCTTGCTTCAAAGATCCACACATACAGGTTGACTGGTGCCAGATTCTTGGACACTAAAGTTCCATTTAGTTTAGTGTTAGGTTTACCAAAATCTGGAGAGGCACAACTTGTTTTCCAGAGAAATCTCAATATATTCTTGGGTTTGCCTGTAATTTTTATATTAGTAATGGTCTAAGCAATTGCCACTAAACTTCTACGCAACTTTAGAATTACTTAGGTGATAAAAGGTCCCTTGGATGTTATTCTTTGATTGTGGAAAGTAGCATTCTTCTAATTGTTAGTTCAGTGAGGTAGTCTCTAAATGCAAGGCTTTCTGAGTATTTAGGTAGAGACAGAATTGATGGTCAAATACAGGACCTCCTTATGGAAGTTAGCCTGAGCATGCACAAGATGGAACAAATTCAAAAAGATTCTGTCCTCTTCATCACGGTCTCCTATATGCCATACACAAGAATGGATAGTGGGGGGAAAAAATGACAGTTAAGTTTTAAAATATATAATCTATTTCAAACATAAGATGTTCTAATTTTTCCTAATAATAAGTAACAGAAGACTAGTGATCTTTACTAAATCAGATGTTAACCATTGAAATAATGAAATTCTATAAGAGTGCTGAATTAGACAAAAAGGATGCTGGTCCATGTTTTATTGCTTCTAACTTTATGACCTAAGGTAAGTCAGATAATTTATCTAAGCTTTAGTTTTCTCATCTGTAAAACAGGGTTAATTATCATGTTGGCTACCTAATAAAACTGTAAAACAATATCTATTAAAACTACACAAATACAGGATATTATTATGATGATTATGATAGTTGATAAGTGAGCAAGTTAAAAATTTTTCTGTGCAAAATTGAAATTGGTTCCTTTCAGAGCAGATTCTTCTACTTTGTTTTCCATTAAAAGACTAATACTAAATTTAAAAAGTGACAAAACCAAGAACTAAATATATTTCATGGAAAAACAAACAAAAAAATGTTTACTCCTTCCTAGTTTAGAAATAAGTCTACACAGAATTATCCCTGTCTTAAGTGGAGACTAGAATGCATTTCATTCACACCTGTGTACCATCTACATACATACTCACCAGACATAATTGACTGCAGCATTTCCATTATAATACATGCAAATGCATTTGCCACATTCTGCAGGAAGTTGTTTTTTTCCATTGAAGTACTAAAGACTTTACAGACTCTTTGCATCATTTTAACTGCCCAATCCATGCAGTATAGTTCTTTCTCGCACACCTGATTTAGACAACAAAGCATTATGACAAATCTTCATGTAAAGAAAGCTACAGAATTTGAAAACTGTATTAACTATGATGGTTTATGATTTTACATAATTACATATGACATTATATAGAGTCTACAAGTGGGAAGTGTTGTATCTAACACTCCTTTGCTTTCAAATTATACAATTTCAGTGAAAAAATATATGACAAAAGTCTGGTTCAAGATTATCATAGCATATATTATTATTTTAAATTAATTTTCAATTACAGTTTACATTCAATATTATTCTGTATTAGTTTCAAATGTACAGCATAGTGGTTAGAAAATCATGTACTCACCTGGCCCCATACATAGTTATCACAATATTATTAACTGTATACCCTATGCTGTAGTCTACATATCTGTGACTATTCTGTAATTACCAATTTGTACTTCTTAATCCCTTCACCTTTTTCACCCAGACTCTCAACCCCTCTCCACTCTGACAACTGAGTCTGTTCTCTGTATCTTATATAGAATATTATTAATGTAGTAACTAATATTGAAAAGTTATTAAACATGTAAATAAGACTTCTGTTCATTCACTCATTCAATAGATTAAAAAAAAATTTTTTTTAAATCTTCACCCGAGGATATTTTTACATTTATCTTCAGACAGAGTGGGAGGGGGGGCGGGAGAGAGAAAGAAACATTGATGTGAGAGAGACACATTGACTGGTTGCCACCTGCATGACCCCAACTGGGGACAGGACGAACTGCAACTGAGGTACGTGTCCTTGGCCGGAATCGAACTCAGACTCCCTAGTCTGCAGGCAGATGCTCTAAACTGGCCAGGGCAGATATATATTTTTTTAATTTACCATTTTAACTTAAAAAAATTAATTAGTTAATTTCCTTTATTGATTTTAGAGAGAGAGAAAGTGAGAGGGAGAGAGAGAGAGAAACATCGGTGAGAGAGAACATCGATTGGCCACCTCCTGCATGCCCCCCACTGGGGATCGGGCCCACAACCTGGGCATGTGTCCTGACCAGGAATCAAACTGGTGACCTCTTTGTGTATGGGTCAACACTTAACCACTGAGCCACACTGGCCAGACTTAACTATTTTATTTATTTATTATTTTTTTTCTTTATTGATTTTTAGAGAAAGAGGAAAGGAGAGGGAGAGAGACAGAAACATGGATGAGAGAGAACATTGACTGGCTACCTCCTGCATGCCTCTCACTGGGGATCTGGCCCACAACCTGGGCATGTGCCCTGACCAGAAATCGAACCAGTGACCTCCTGGTGCATGGGTTGACACTCAAGCACTGAGCCACACCGGCTGGGCTCATTCAGTAGATATTTAATGAGCACATGCTACGAGGTAGAAATACTATGGTAAGCCATAAAGACAAGGCTTCTATTTTAAAGGAGTCCAATCAGGGTGACAGACAAACAAGAAACTTCAATAGGCAAGAGAACTCTATAGTATTATCAACTTTCCATCTTGAGAGTTATAGAAAATATTTCTCTATTATTTAAAAGATAAATATTTAAAGTAAAGACTACATGTTAACAGTTAAACATGAAAAAAAAGGTTTATTTACTAACATTCTAAATGGCCATTTTAACTCACATAGCCAAATAATATACAGCATGCAAATAAGCTTTATAGTAGTGTAACTAAATAATGTTAATCTAACAGGAAAGATGTATTGACGACTTATGTGTAAGGTATGGTACAAGGCACCACGAAAGAAGCAAGTGACATAGTCCTGGATTTCAACGAATTTGCAATCTGTTTTGGGAGATGACTTACTGCACACACAAAATGGCTTAAGAACACTATTAGTAAATGAAGATAAAGAAAAGACAAATCTGAGGCAATTTAGGGGAAAATTAATGATCAGAGCCGAGATGGTAATCAGGGAAGGCTTTCTGGAGAAGGCTTCCTCACCCCAGTGACTTCCTCTCCATTCTGTCTGCTATCATGCTGCCAAAGTGACCTTTGAAAAACTTGAAACTGCCTGGCCAGTTTGGCTCAGCGGTTAGAGCGTCCACCTGCGGTCCGGAGAGACCCGGGTTCGGTTCCCGCTAAGGGCATGTACCTTGGTTGCAGTTTGTCCCCGGCCCTGGTTGGTCATGCGGGTGGCAGCCACTCGATGTGTCCCTTTCACATCGATGTTTCCCTCTCTCTCTCTTCCTCTCTCTCCCTCCCACTGTGTCTGTACAAAAAATGGAAAAATGTCCTTGGGTGAGGATAAAAAAAAAAAGAAATAATACTGAGCTGCTTACAGTCCTGTGAATACTGCCATGCAATTCTATTTCTCTCTCTCTCTCTCTTTTGGAGTGAATTTGCTTAATTATTAAAATAAATATTTATATTGAAAATATAGTTAATTTAGTAGCTTGATTCACATTTTAAAAAGAGCCACAGACAGCCTGGTCTAAGTGAAAAATATGAATTATAAGATTCTTAAAATTGTATGAATTTAGGATACTCTTCAATATATACTACTGTCTAAGGCAGAGCTAAAAAAAAAAAAAAAGAGTCACAGAGGTTTCATTCATGTTTTAAGCAGTTGAATTGGTAATGATTCTGTCCCATTTCATAGGAAATGAATTACATTTAATTATTCCTCACAACAGCCAACTGAAAGAGTATTCCATTGCTTTTGAAGCATTGGTTGAGCTGGCATCTTCAATGGTAGCCAAATAAATTATTTGTCCCCTCTATCTGCCTTATAAACTTCTATTCATTTTTATCAAAATTTTTTCCTTTATTAATTTTATTTATTTAAAAAAATTTTTTCTTTATTGATTTTAGAGAGAGAGGAAGTGAGAGGGAGAGAGAGAGAGAAACATCGGTGAGAGAGAACATCGATTGGCCACATCCTGCATGCCCCCCACTGGGGATCGGGCCCACAACCTGGGCATGTGTCCTGACCAGGAATCAAACTGGTGACCTCTTGGTGCATGGGTTGATGCTCAACCACTGAGCCCCACTGGCCGGACAACTTCTATTCATTTCTTGAAAAATGAATTGTGCTTGGGAAATCCCTTTCTCTGCCCTACACTCACCCAATATCAGTTCCTCTTTGCTATCTCTTTTTGTATATATAGTTTTATATTTATCTCACTAAATTTATTTATATATACTTTAATATCTCTTAAAAGACTATAAGCAGCTTTTAGTCAGAGAATTATCCTATTAATTTCCATAGTTCCTAGAATCTCACACAATGAATGGTCCATAGTACAAACTCAATTTGTATTAAATGAATGAATAGTAAATATATTTTTAATATTTTGTTTTGAAAAATATTTTAACTATAAAATGTAGAGAGAATAGTATAATGAACTCCCTGTACCCACTTTCCAGCTTACCAATCTTGTTTCACCTTCACCTCCATTTACTACCATATCCTCTCCCTGCTGCCCATTGTTTATTCTAAAGAAAATCAAAGGGAGGACTTTATATTTTAACAGAATTAAAAAAAAAAAAGAATATAACTTGGCAGAACTGTATAATGACAATCTAGATATGAAGTGGGGAGAGGTTAATGCAGGAACTAATTGATAGTTTATTACATATGTTTTAAATTTTTACAAGTATATATATAATATATACATATATATTTATTCTTTCAAAATGTTTTGTACATATTTCAGTTACTTCAGGGCTTCTCCTTGGCAGGTCAACTATAATGTTAAACAACTTGTTAGAGAAAAACTTATTTTTTACTTACCAAAGCCAAAAAGACTATCAGTTTTGCCAGTTCAGTGGTCCGTCCATTCACAGCTTTACTGGCCATGAAAGTGAAACAGATGTCATTCCCACTTAGGATTAGGAGACGTGCATTATTTTCTAGAAGCCACTCACGAGGAACCACTTTTATTAGAGGAAGAACAATTATTTAATGAGAAATTGCACAACAGCTATAGAACATCATTACATGCAATATTACATCACTTCATTGGAAATAGAATTAGTGCCAAGGAAAAGTTCAGAAAAAATGTTTTAATTTTTCAATTACAGCATTTAACTGGAAACAGAGATTACTGCCATGTCACTGCAGTTCTTACCAACATACTAGTAATATAGTCAAAGCATTTTTCCTATATATAGATCAATAGGCAAGGAGGCCTAATCCTGAAAAGGAAAGAAATCTTGAAAACTTCAGAATCTAAAGGATTATGCATAAATGGGAACAATTGTTTCACCTCTGTCATATCATTAGGAGAGGGTGTCTTCTTACATAACCTAGGAAGGTATTTCTGAGAATTTGCAAAATGGGAATAATTAAATTATGAAGCTTTCAAACAATAATAGTAATAAATATATATTTATAACATTTGCAATGGAAGGAAAATAAGTTGGTTATATGCATTCTCTTCAAACAACACCAAATTCATTAAATATTTTAGAGCATTTAATGACTTCCAATAGGCAAGCCATTTGTTACCTGTAGAATTACCCTTATATTTTATAACTGTATTCTAATAATAAATTTCTGTTACTCTGTGTGATAAATATATTATTTTACCTGATAATTCATCTATAAGACTGATAACATCATCTGCTGTCCATTCTTTGATGCCTGTGTCATATAGTAATTTAATGGCATCAGCCAAACCTTTCAGACTGGATTCATCTGTAGGTTCTTCTATCATTTTCTGCCACACCACTTGTCCTGAATGATAATTCAAACAAGAATTAGTTTATGAAAGAATAGTTGGCTTTGTGATAAAGACTGCATGGATTGTTTAAAAAGGAAATTGTATTGCATAATGGAATTCATTACTTATATATGCTACTTTCATAATGAAAGTCAATTCTAATAACAGTATAAATTTGAATGTCTCTGACTGATGTGATGAAGCACAGCCACGATAGCTAAATGAAGTAAAGAAAAGGTAGTTTCACCAAGCAGAATAGTGTTTCTAGTCCAAAAATAATGCTACCTCTATAACAGAAATTAGAATAAACAATTAATGTAATTTTACTGAAATAAAATAAAATCTGAAAAAGAGAACATGCTATATTTGAGGATCTTCCAAACATTTATATCAGAGTAATCCAGTCATTTTTTTACTATTTACCTATGACCAATTCTCTTTGTGAATTATACAAAAAAATTTAATCCTAGATTGGCTTCTTGCTGCTATTCAAAACACTTTAAACTGGTTACCTCCTGATATAAGGCAATGTGAACTAAAGAAATACATGCTAATTTTATTTATTTATTTAAATCCTCACTGAAGGATACTATTTTCCATTTTTTATCTTCAGATAGAGTGAGAGAGAGAAAGAAACATTGATGCAAAAGAGACACATCGATTGGCTGCCTCCCGCAAGACCTGGACCAAGACTGGGGACCAAACTGCAACCAAGGCACGTGCCCTTGACCAGAATCACACCTGTGACTCTTTGGTTTATGGGCTGGTGCTCTACCACTGAGCCAAACTAGCAGAGCATGCATGCTAATTTTAATATTAATCTAAACTTAATTAGAAAGGCAAGAAATGGCCAAAAAAATCATATTATGCACCCAAAATTAAATAAAACATCAATTCTGACTTAATACTATGATTTATTGGCACTATTAGTACCCTCCAGCAGCAAACATAATCTTGAATTAAGATAATGTTTAAAAATGAAAAATAGCTATTTTAGGTAAAACAGAGGTTATAGGAATATATTTGGTAATGGCCTTCAGGGAACAATCTCTGTCTTGAAGCTTAAGTTATATACAAGTTAATGTAGTATAAATCTATTAAATCATGAAATATTTTAGCCATTAGGAATTATGAAACTGAGCAGGTACGAAAGGATATGCCTCCTAAAGTAAAAGTAATTTGCTGGTTTTGTAACATGTGCTGCTAAAAAATAGATGCTCACCATCTTGAGGAGATATTGGCCCAAAGATGATATACAGTAATCTTGCCTGATTCACCATTGGCCATGGTTTTAATATACGTGTCAACCAAAAAGCAGAATCACTTCTATGTGTCCAATGATCAAACAGGACATTCCTACAGAACAGTCTGATCCTTAACTCCAGTTTTCGGGCATTTCCTATGAAGATAAAAGACTTGTAAACCCTTCTTCCTAGAAAGGTTGATGTGCATAATGAATAATAGGTCAAAGACATACATCATTAATATGCTTTGCATTGAGATCATTACCTCATTTTCCTCTGTAAAAATGTTCTATTATCAAGGGATTGTTTTTAAACAGCTTTAGTGAGATATAATTTACATACCATACAATTTGCCCATTTAAAGTATACAATTCAATGGTTTTTAGTATATTCACAGATATGCGCAGCCACCACCAAGTCAATTTTAGAACATTTGATCACCTCAAAAAGAAATCTTGCTCTTTTATCAAACTGATATAGAGAGTAATGGGCAATAAGTTTTTAAATGAAGTTTAGGATTAGAACGTGAAGGCCAGTATATATCAGGGAGCTAATAAAGTTTTTGATCGAGGGAAGGACATAATAAAGTGATGTTATTATTGTTTCGAGGGGCTTCCAAATCTGCCTTTTTAATTCATAATTTGTTTTGTAATAAAATATTTCGAGCTGACAGAAAAGCAGACATATTAAAACAAATACTGTATGCCAATCACCTAGCTTTGTCAAAACTTTACTTTTTGCTATTTTGCTTCAGATTATTATTTTTTTGTTAATTCTCACTTAAGGATATTTTTTCTATTGATTTTTTTAGATAGAGTGGAAGGGAGGGAGGGAGGGAGAGAGAGAAACATCAGTGTGAGAGATACATCAATTGGTTGCTTCCCCCATGACCTGGACTGGGGCTTGGAACGAATCTGCAACCCATGTACATGCCCTTGACCTGAAATCAAACGTGAGATTTTTTGGTCCTCGGGCCAACGCTCTAACTGCTGAGCCAAACTGTCCAGGCTGCTTCAGATTTTTAAAAGTAAACAAAACATTACTGATAGCTTGGATTGGATAGGAACACACATTATAGAGGGTAATCTGCTTTACTAAAAATCTACTGATTTAAATGTTACTCTCATCTAAAAAAATAACTTCAGAGAAACATCTAGAATAATGTTTGACCAAAAACACAGATACCACAGCCTGCTCAAGTTGACACACAAAATTACCACCTATTACATTTCCCAACTATATTTTTATACTTTTAAACATATGTATGTAACTATAAAAAATATATAGAATTATTTTTCATGTTTTAATATGTTTATAAGTGGTTTCATATTGAAAGTATTATTTGGTAACCTTTTTCTCAAATTATATTTTGAGATTGACCTATATTAATACACATGGCTCTAGTTCATTTAACTATTAATGGTTTTAATTATATGACTATGCCACAATTCATTTATCCATTCTCCTGACAATGGGCATTTAGGTTGTTTGCAGCTTTTCATGGTTGCAATCTTTATTCTTTTTTTTTTTAATCCTCACCCAAGGACATTTTCCGATATATTTTGTTCAGATACAGTGGGAGGGAGAGAGAAAGAAACACCGACATGAAAGGGACACATCGAGTGGTTGCCACCCACACGACCCAACCAGGACCGGGGACAAACTGCAACGGAGGTATGTGCCCTTAGTGGGAACCGAACTCCAGTCTCTCTGGACTGCAGGCCGATGCTCTAACCGCTGAGCAAAACCGGCCAGGGCAACAATCTTTATTCTTATAGATGTTTCCTTGTGCACACTGTGGGACTTTTTCAGAGTGAAATTTCTGGATTGTATGGTTCCATAATTTTTAAAATATAAAATATTTCAGGTATATACAAAGGTTTAAAGAATACTACAATGGCCCTGGCCGGTTTGGCTCAGCTGTTAGAGCATCAGCCTGCGGTCCAGAGAGACCCGGGTTCAGTTCCCGCTAGGGGCACGTACCTCGGTTGCAGTTTGTCTCCAGCCCTGGTTGGGTCATGCGGGTGGCAACCACTCGATGTATCCCTTTCACGTTGATGTTTCTCTCTCTCTCTCTCTCCCTACCCTCCCACTCTATCTGAACAAAAAAATGGAAGAATGTCCTCGGGTGAGGATAAAAAAAGAGAATACTACAATGCACAACTTTATATTCTCCACCCAGCTTAAGTAATCAAATATTATTAAATATTATTAATACAGTTGAAGCCCTCTGAATACTTCTTTCTCTAATCATGTCACTTGAGCCTCACTATCCAATTCAGTGTTTATCACTCCTTTATATTTCTTTGTTGTTTTACTATAAATGGATGCCAGTTTATTTTTAAATACACTTTTGAACTGTGTTTTTCTCTTTTAACTCCTGTATAATGTTATTTCTGAACTGCAGTTTTTTACCTGGCTTGCTGAAGACAACGGTCTGCATCTTGCGGGAGAGGTCAGTCAACTCACATAAGAAGTTAAAAACACGATGGCACTCAAGTTCATCCCAACCTGCTGTTAAGGTCTGAGGATAATAAAATAAAGGAAACATTGCAGATGTTCAAACCTCAAATTGAAACATATTGCCTTATGAGCACATAACTGTTACAGCACATGATCCAGGTGATGTGTAATTTTTATCCATGTTTCTCTCGCTTTCTCTCTCTCCCTCCTGCTCTGTCTGAACAAAAAATGGAAATGGTTGGGTTGTGCGGGTGGCAGCCACTATGGAACTGTTGGAATTGATAAGAAATTTTACATGAACAAAATATAGAAATGCTCCAAATCTAGTTTCTTTTTCATTTTAAAGGGAGAGTGTTTTCAGCGAATGTCTGAATCCTGAATTCTGACATTATGAGGAAAAGACCCAAACTCTAGAACACAGCTTTAGACATCTGACTCAAAAGTATACTGTGGCTGCCCTAGCTGGTTTTGCCCATTGGTTAGAGCATCAGCCTGCGGTCCAGAGAGACTCGGGTTCGGTTCCCACTAGGGGCGCGTACCTCGGTTGCAGTTTGTTCCCGGCCCTGCCTGGTTGGGTTGTGCGGGTGGCAGCCACTCAATGTGTCCCTTTCATGTCGATGTTTCTCTCTCTCTCTCTCTCTCTCCCTCCCTCCCTCCCTCCCTCCCTCCTGCTCTATCTGAACAAAAAATGGAAAAATGTCCTCAGGTGAGGATAAAAAAAAAAAAAAGTATACTATGGCTTAGTTTTAGACTACAGTAGAACCCCTTCAACCCCCCTCTTGCTATCATTTATGATGTTGCTAACAAATGATAATGATTTCATTTGAATGTAACAATTATGACATTTATGACACTTGGATGTGAACAAGCAAAAAAATTTTATTAGGACACAATTTAATAATTATTTTTTAGCAAACCCAAATGTACAGTTAAACATATATGAAAAGCAAATTTAAGTGGTATATTACTATACAGCTGACTCTTGAACAACACAGATTTGAACTGTGCAGGTCTACCTTTATGCAGTTATTTTTTTTCCAGCAAATACCTGTCTTCATTGTGAGGGTGGGAGTTCACGGCTGCGGAGAGCTGACTATATGCATTGATCTACATTATTTTATACAGGGGATCTGAGCCCATGGATTTTGGTATGTGTGTGGGGTCCTGGAATCAATCACCCTCGAATACCAAGAGACAACATAAATTTGGGGGGAGTCAAAGTTATATTCAGATTTTCAATTGGGTGGAGGTTGGTGCCCCTAATGCCTATGTTGTTCAAGTGTCAACTGTAATTAGATTTTGAAGAAGTTGATTAATCACATAAATTTTCCTTAAAATAGTTGACTTGGATTTCAGTAGTGTATAAATTAATCTATTATCTCCAGAAGGACATAAGAAACTGATAATACTGGTTAATTCTACTGAAGGGCACTCAGTGGACAAGAGGCAGGCCTTGGAGGAAGACTTACTTTTCACTTTATACCATTTTTTATGTTTTGAATTTCACATAAATACATGTGCTCATTTTACCTGTCCCCCCCCCCCAAAAAAAAAAAAGAAAGGAAAAAATCTATCTTGGAAGAGAGCTAGTAAAAAGGTCTATGCCTCTGGAATCAGATGGCGGCTGGCAGGTTGGGATATAAGCAAGATTGTTGTAAGAATATTGTAAACCTCATAAGATTTTTGTAAGTTTTAAATAAGTTAGTACACATAAATTGCTTAGAATAGTATAATATATTAATAATATATTTTAAATATTGAATACCATTAAGTTATGTTATCTTCTTTGTTTACAATAAAAGATTAATAAAAATGTTCTTAAAATCACACAGCTGATTTTTTTGTTGTTTTTTTCTAGTTCTATTGAGCTATCACTGACATGTAAATTAAAGGTATACAATGTAGTGATTTTATATATGTATTCATTGCAAAATGATGATCACAATAAGGTTAAGTTACATTTATCACATAGTTACAATTTTTTCATACAGTTGATTTCTGAAATCACTTCTTAAATAACCAGCCCAAGATTTAAAACTCATTATACACACATACACACCTTACCCCACACTATTTCTAGTCTTTACAACAGTGGCTAGAAACTTCAAGAACATTGGTATAGAGCAAGTAAATGTTTCACATTTATTTTTTATATTTTATTTTTTTATTTATCATCCTCAACCGAGGACATTTTCCCATTTTTTGTTCAGGTAGAGTGGAAGGGAGAGAGAGGAACAGAGAGAGAGAGAAACATCGACGAGAAAGGGACACATCGAGTGGTTGCCACCCGCACAACCAACCAGGGCCAGGGACAAACTGCAACCAAGGTACGCGCCCTTAGCGGAAACCGAACCCGGGTCTCTCAGGACCGCAGGCCGACGCTCCAACCGCTGAGCCAAACCGGCCAGGGCTATTTCACATTTCTTACCAGAGAGAAACCCAAGAAAATTTGAGATGATAAACATTATTAGATTAAAACATTCTCAAATCTTTCCAATTTTATTTTGTTCTTTTTTAGATTATTATTTTTATTAACCTACGGAATAATAGATTGCATGCTCTAATTGTTAACAGTTAAAAAACATTCCTTTTCCTTTTCTTCTTTCATTAAAAAAAAAAATGTACCTGTAAAAACATGCCATAACATGATAATCCTAAACATTGCATAGGGGCTGCACAGCCATTGAATTTAAAACAGGAAATCTGTAAAGAGAACAACTGTTAATTCCTCCTTTTAAGTGGAACTATACAACAATTTGACATTCAAATTTAATGGAAATATGTAAAAAAATTTTCAGTATTAACTGAAAATAACTAAAACATTAAATAACTCATTAGCATTGTTATATAGGTGGAGATTATTAAAGAAATATTTTTTAAAAGGCTGCCTTCAAAGAGCTCACAATTTATTTAGGAGATTAAGATATACACATGTGAAGTTATTTTGATATTTCAGGTTAGAATATGCATAAATGGTAAAATGACTGAAAAAAATACTATATCAGTTACTATGAAAGCAGGGAAATGATAAATTTGGGAATGATCAAAAGGGCTTATGAAGGATGTGAAACAAGCAATGTCTTAAAGTAGGATATTGAAAGGATTGGTGAGGGAAACAGTAAGGGCAAAGTTGCATAGAGGTAGGAATTAAAAAAAAAGTTTATTTGGGAAGAAAGACATGATTAATTTAAGTCATAATTATCATAAAAGGGTTGTCATTTTACATATTAAAATACTTTCCTATGTTTTTGTATATTTAAATAGTAAGATTTTAATATTCAGAAATTATTTCATTTGAATAAAATATCTAACTCACCACTTTAAAACATCCTCATGATTCTCATGTGGGGTAAAAATACTTTTATACTCTGATAAACCTAATAACCTTAAATGATGAATTTAGTTATATATTAAAATTATTTTATAATAAGTAAAAGACTACTATACTACATTTTAGTGTTTTATATTCTTTGAGTATTTAGTAAAGTATTCGATTATCATCGATCATTTTTTTAGTACTAATTCATGAAGTTCTACCAATTAAGAATAGATCTTATAGATCTTAAATAAGTATAAGACAATGGTAAAATATCTTTACTGGATATCAAGATTGTGAAGTAATTCAGAAGTATGATCTTACTTCTGCGAGTATCTTGTGAATATACTTTAGTCTTTCCTTTGTGGGTAGCAGCAATGTACATCTTTTAAAGAGTAAACCTGAGAAAGTAAAAAAAAAACATGAAGAAACAGCGACAACAACGTAATCAATTAAAAAATATCTATAGAGCACAGCATAATGTTTCCTGAAAGTCAAATATGGTACACCATTAGTGAACAGTGAGCTGATATATTTTTTAAGAGAAAGTTTGTGAGGAAGGGTATATAACATTTATATGTTGATTACCAAGCAACTCTGATGCCTACCTAAGAGGCACTGACATAAAGTCATAAAATATTGTGAAATTGATACTATAGAACAGCTTTGGAAAAGTTCTAAATTATTTAGATTTAAAAAGATACAATAACATAACACAAAATACATTAGAGAAACTTTATATTGTCTTTATTCCATAGGAAACATATTCTAATATCTCTTGAAATTAACCTCATGTCCAGAAAAGAAAACGTTCTGAATTGTTAATGCAAAACATGAAAAGAGATTTTGTATTCCTTTTTAGAAATAAAAAAATTAGCCCGGCTGGTGTGGCTCAGTGGTTGAGCATCGACCCATGCACCAAGAGGTTGCCAGTTTGATTCCCGGTCAGGGCACATGCCCAGGTTGTGGGCCCGATCCTCAGTGGGGGGTATGTGGGAAGCAGCCAGTCAATGTTCTCTCTCATCGATATTTCTATCTCTCTCTCCCTCTCCCTTCCCTCTCTCTCTAAAATCAATAAAGGGAAAAAAATTTTAAAAATAAAAATAAATTAGCCCTGGCTGGTTTGGCTCAGCGGTTGGAGCATCGGCCTGCAGTCCAGAGAGACCCCGGTTCAATTCCCGCTAAGGGCATGTACCTCTGTTGCAGTTTGTCCCTGGTCCTGGTTGGGTTGTGCGGGTGGCAGCCACTCGATGTGTCCCTTTCACGTCGATGTTTCTCTCTCCCTTCCTTTCTCTCCCTCCCACTCTATCTGAACAAAAAATGGAAAAATGTCCTCGGGCCCTGGCCAGTTTGGCTCAGCGGTTAGAGCATCGGCCTGCGGTCCGGAGAGACCCGGGTTCGGTTCCCGCTAAGGGCACGTACTTCGGTTGCAGTTTGTCCCCGGCCCTGGTTGGTGTGCGGGTGGCAGCCACTCGATGTGTCCCTTCACGTCGATGTTTCTCTCTCTCTCTCCCTTCCTCTCTCCCCCTCCCACTCTATCTGTACAAAAAATGGAAAAATATCCTCGGGTGAGGGTAAAAAAAAAGAAAAATGTCCTCGGGTGAGGATAAAAAAATTAATTAAAGTTGTAAGTCCTTAAAATTTCAGAGGTTCAAAGTCATTTCTGCTTACAGAAAATACCCAATTTGGATGAAATATCTATTTCTTCCTTCAAAGATACCTTTTATGGGACTTGCATGTTAAGAATGTATAGAATTTTGTGTTCAGATATTTAAAAATGAAAAAGAAAAAAAGAAAAACAACCTTCTGTTTCCCAGTTAGATATGTAACTTCAACTACAGTGATAGGAAGTGAATGATTTGTTTCCTCTAACATTAAGTGGTCTGTTTTCCTAAAATGGCAATACATTGTTAACATTCCTATGAGGGCAAATGTCCTCAAATTAAAAATAAGATATATGGCAGGAAAATATATACTTGAATATCATGACTTTCTTCAGTTTTTATCTTTTCTGTATTTACTTTTTTTTTAAATTCTCACCCGAGGACATTTTTCCATTTTTTGTTCAGAAAGAGTGGGAGGGAGAGAGAGAGAGAAACATCGACATGAAAGGGACACATCGAGTGGCTGCCACCAGCACAACCAACCAGGGCTGGGGACAAACTGCAACTGAGGTACGCGCCCTAGCGGAAACCGAACCCGAATCTCTCTGGATCACAGGCCGGACGCTCTAACCGCTCGCTGAGCCAAACCGGCCAGGGCTGTATTTACTTTTTAACATAATATAATTACCATTTTATATAATTCTGTAGACTATATGGGAACCTAATTTATGTTTTTAGAAGTTGTTATGTTTGGGTAACACATGACCAGAATTGAGTTTTAAACATAAATCCTCCCTATATTTATACATAAAAAGACATTTTCAGTGTTTGGCTTTTAGACTGAATTCTTTTCCTTTCATGTTTTGGCATCTAATCCCATGGTAAATCATAGCTGGGGAATTGTAAGCTATAATTGCATGTTGGTTGTCTTTTCTAATGTAAAATTCCTATTTTTAAGGGTTGCAATTTAACATAAAAACTAATACCAGTTGACTTTTTTTTTTTTTAAACACAGGTGCTCTACTGTACCCTTTTGAGACCAACTTCTTTCATTTCTTCCCACTAAAATAGAGTCAGATGTAATGTTCTTTCTACACTGGCCATCTGCTCTGTTTTGTATGAAGAAGCAAATTAAAATTTATAATATTCAATGAGCAAGGATTCTGAAATGTTACTTTAATGTCTGAAGATAAGAATGGATCAGATAGGAATAGCAACATGAGAAAGACGTAAGTACATCAAACGTTTACCTAAAGAATCAGTTATAAGTCAGGTGTCTGCATTAAAATTAAATGTAAGGTTGAAATCATTACATGAATAAAACTGTTTTAAAAACTAGCTATTTTTAACTGACTTATCCATATAATTGCTTTAATGCTTTGTTTGTTTGTTTAAGCAATTGAGCCTTGGTCAAAGAGAAAAAATTCTTTCAGATTAAAACCAAAGAATAAGCTCTTTTACCCAATCAAGTACCACTTCCTCTGCAAGTAATGACGTTTGTAAAAAGATATTTACAATAACAAGTAGCAAAAAGTAATTATGTATTCTGTTAGACTTCACTAAGCCTAATCATAAATGCTGAAGCCAATAACACTAATCAAATTATATACTTTCATTTAGTCTTATTAAATATACTTATCAAATAGTTTTATATATTTACACATCTTTATAGTCTTATTTTATTATCTTAAAACTCAGCATCCTTGGGCTATGAAAGGTAATATTCAGTTAACTTACTTATATGCCTTTATTTAAATCTCAACATCACTTTGATCCCACTCTCTCTCTCTCTCTCTTTTATTTATATATAAATTTAAATATATATAAAATATATATATATATTTATTTATTTATTTATTTTTCAATCCTCACCTGAGGATATTTTCCCATTGCTTTTTAGAGTGAAAGGGAGGGAGGAAGAAAGACAGAATAACATCAATATGAGGGAAACACACAGATTGGTTGCCTACTGCATGACCCAGCAGGGGCAGGGATCAAACCTGCAACCCAGGTACCTGCCCTTGATGGGGAATCAAACCCTGGACAAACTAGTTCTTGGGTCAACACTCTAACCACTGTTCCAAACCGGCTAAGGCTCTTTTCTATTTTAAGGACTAGATTATGATTGAAAGATAAAACTCATTAGATCCATAAGAAATATAACACAGAGAGTACATCAATTGGCCCTGGCCGGTTTGGCTCAGCGGTTAGAGCGTCCACCTGCGGTCCGGAGAGACCCGGGTTCGGTTCCCGCTAGGGGCATGTACCTGGGTTGCAGTTTGTCCCCGGCCCTGGTTGGTCGTGCGGGTGGCAGCCACTCAATGTGTCCCTTTCACATCGATGTTTCTCTCTCTCTCTCTCTCTTCCTCTCTCTCCCTCCCACTCTGTCTGTACAAAAAATGGAAAAATGTCCTCGGGTGAGGATTAAAAAAATAAAATAAAATAAGGAGAGTACATCAATTGCTTAAACCAATAAGCTACTTAGAAAATAAGCATAGGTGATACTATATCCACATGAAATCACAAGAGCAGACACTTTACATTAAAGTACATTCTTTCACCTTTAAAGATAAGTGTAAGGGACTGTTGTTAAGGGAAAGTCCTCACACTGAAGAGTAAAAGTATCACAGAAATAGGCACATATTTGGAAATATTCCATTTCCCATGGGTTTTACAGAATTGTATAATAAAATCCCCTTAAGTATAGTTCTTTACTTGTTACAATTCTTTTTACACAAATTACCTAGAGATCTGTAGTGTTCCAATACAGCAGAATCTTGTCTCTTGCCAGGCAGCTCAAGGTTATGAAAGTCCTGTAGCAAAAGTCTTTTGCTTCCTGATGAGGTTGAGATATAATTAATAATGTGCTGGCTGACTGTTCTGGACACCATGCTTAGCATGCTGATATCCTTCACTACCAAAGGAAAAACATATACATATATATGAATGGCTTAAATACAAGAACATAACTGTTAGTATAATGTAATAATATAAGTTTGCTCATTAATAACAATATTAAATAATAGTAAAAATAAAGATGAAAATCTTAAAATTGTTTAAAATCCAGTGCTCAATAAATTAGAAACATTTTGGGATATAACAGTCAAGTTATGTCATTATAATTAGAAGCATGTTTAAAGAGTTTGAGTACAGTACTTTTTCATTATTCCTTACCTAATAATGATGAAACTTTAGAAAATAAATTTAATATGAACACCATTAATTCTAGCAGGACCAATGATGACAAATTAGTTCTTGGGAAAAATAAAAATATTGTCCCCAAACCTCACCTGACAAATATTTTAAGATTACTTGGAATATTTCCAATGGCAAGGCTTTAAAATTTCCAAGTGCTGATAAGGACTGAGAATCTGAGTCAAGGGTGTTGGAAACATGGCTGGATCGACGATTACTACGTCTATATTTCTGGTTGGGAATCAGAGTGAAACTGGTATTTATTCTAGATGCCATCCTTTTTCTAATCTTGTGAATTTATCCTGGTTAGAAAAACAAAGTACAAGAGACAAAGAAGAAAGAAAATTAAGGTGTTGAAGAGCTGTTGTTTTTTTTAAATAAAGAGGTTGGTATTTTGATGGGAAATAGCTGTCTCTATATTTACAAAACTTTTAATATGGTGTCCAATTTATGGAGTTCCCACCAGTAGTCTATTATTCATCTCAGCATGATATGAAATATTTAAAAATATCTTCCCTCTTAACCAAATATTCTAGATACAGAGTTTTAGTAGAAAATGAAAATGTATTTGGATGAAATATATTCTAAGGAAAGAAATATGCAAAAATTTAAAAGATTTAACACAAAAGAAACCAGTATAACAAATTCAACATATTCAAATCTTTCAATTAGTATGTTGCTTTTATATTCTTTACATTAAAAAGTCAAAACATTGATGTAGCTTTAAAATTTTGTAGTCATGTTTTTTTATTTTTCAAAACCAAGTGTTGACATCTTTTGTTAGAAATAATAAAAACAAAAAGATTTTTAAAAAAGAGACTTTAAATTTAGAACTTTAAAATTTTTACTAGTTCTAAAAGATCGAGAAGGTCGCCTTACTATTAACAATTATGTGCTGTGTAATATACAAATAAGCAGTTAAAATGAAGTCTTGTAAAATTAATAAGACTCAAATAAAATGAATACGAATTTTCCCTCATTTTCACTTTTGGTTAATAATAGTTACTGATAAGACTTAGGATGAGTTTACACAACTTGATTATAAATTGAACATTTCTTAGAGGGAACTAAAATCACTGATAATTTACTTATATTAAATAATAATTTAAAAAATCTATTAATAACACACTGTGACATTGTCACTATTGCTCCCACTCAAAAAACATTGTAATATATATATATATATATATATATATATATATATGCATAACCACAACTCCAGTCTAAAGCTCCCTGTTTCCGAATAACTAAGATGCTTCATCAGTTACAAGTACACCTGACCAAAATGCTTTTTCTCCTTTTCAGAAAATTGCTAAAATCACATTGTTACTTACTCATCTTAACAGGTTACATAGCAACTTATATCAATTTAAAATCGGTTACACATTGGAATACGGCCAAGAAATGCAGTGCTTAGTGAAAAGCAAACAGTGAACTCCTCCTCTAAGACCACACCGCTTTCAATGACCATTTAAATGAGTAGATCTTAAAAAATAATCATTAAAATTATGCAAGTAATATGCATTGTCAAAATGTTTACAAAATACAGCAAAACGAAACAAAAAAGATTAAATTTGCTTATAAACGCTTTGGTGTCTATCACTCCAGAATTTCACGTATATATTCTCTTTAACAACAACAACGAAAAGGTGTGCGGGGGTGGGAGGGGTGGGGATCCCTGTTCATACTATTTTGTAATCTTTTCCCATTGTGATTAAAATTGTAACTTCTTCCCATGCTAGTTCATTTTTAGGGCTGCATAGAATTCCACCAGAACCTTGGTTTATTCAGTCCGTGAGGGGGCTGTTTCTTCCTCACAGTAGGCATTTTAAAGCATCACCATTAGTATGAAGTGTAAATCTGGCCCCGGATCTGCTCTTCTGAGGAACGTGTAAGGAGAGGCTTGGGCGGGCTCTCTGCATGTATATGTAAACCTCTGGGAGGGTTCACACAACGCCCCGAATCTTTAAAACTCAAGTCTCTCTTTACAATTTATTTTCTCCTCAGACCCGAACATGTACGTAGATGGCGGGCTTTTCTGAAAAATTTAAAGGAATCATCCCGAGTTATTGCTGGTTTCCTCTCATCCCTGTAGCAAACGAGAATCAGAGACCAAAATAACAGCAGCCCAGGGTTCCCAGGCCCACTTCCCGGCTCTCTGGGACAGGCTCCGAGCGCCCTCTGGAAGGGGCTCCCCGCGGCTCGGGGAAGCCGGCCCACGCCCTCCCCGGGCTCGGACTTTGAACCTAAGAAACCCCTGAAGAGACCCACCCCCTCTGCTCGGGGATTTGGCCCAAAACATCTCCAAAGAGCAAACGAGGGAGGCCCTAAAAAAAGAAACTGGCCAATTTGAGAATCAAACCACACTGGGGTGCACTTTTTACCCCCTTCATCAAAAATTGAAACTACCTCAAGAAAACACGGGGGAAACAAATATCTTTTTACCACAGATTTTGACAGTTTTCCGGCTAAAGAGTCACAGGAAGATGGGATTTAGTCGTTTTGCCCCACCATCCTCAAAGTTCTTAATGTTTCTAAAGAAAAATCTCCTCAAGATTTCCCGGCCGGGAAGAAAGAAGATCGGGCTCCCATCCGCTCGCAGCTGCGGTCCCACCTCCCAGGAGCCCCAGTGGCCTCGAGAAGATTTTAGAATCCTCCCAGGAGCCCCAGCGGGAGGGATGCCCCGCCCATCATGAATATTAATAAAGCCGGCTCCCATGGTGCCTTCCTCCATCATGAATAATTAACGAGGAAGAGGTCCCTGGAGCCGGAAACTAGGCTAAAGTCATCCATTGCTCCAAGCTGAAGACAGGAAGGGGTGGAGCCGTTAGAATCTGTGGGAGGGGCTGGTACAAAGGAAGAGCCCCAATCTGGCGAGCCATACCTTTGCTCTAAACCGCTTCCTTTCAGCCTAGCTTTGAGTCCATTTTTTATTTCCCCCAGCCCCACGCCGGTAGGTTAGGTTACAGGAGCGTTCATCAAAACTGTTGGAAAATAACCTCCAAACAGTCCTTTTGAAACCTATTTCAGTGCCTAGAATCAAAGAAAGACGAGTGCCCCAGCCTCTCAAGACGGAGTCCAAGACAAACCTTTCTAGCTTGGCCCTCCTCCCTTGAAGATTAAGTTCTCATTAATTTATTTAGTCATTCAGTAGCTATTTATTGAAGCCGGCTCTGCACCAGTAGGTCCTAAGGATACAACAGAGAACAAGACACATAACATTTCTTGCCTTAATGGAGCTTATTAGTCTAGTGGGAAAGATATAATAGACAAAGTACAGATGGAGAGCAATGTTATGAAGGAAATAAGGCAACAGGAAATAAGGTAAGGGGGGGCACCTGTGCCTACTTTAGATGGACAGGTCAGGAAGGTGCCTTTGAGGAGGTTACATTTAATTTGAAAACTAATAGATGGGAAGGAGCCAGTCAGGATAAGCGGTGGGGGAAGGGAGGAAGGAACAGCAAGAAAGATTTTGGTACATTCTAGGAATTTGCAAGGCTGGCTGGCTGAGTTTAGTGAGCAAGTAGGAGAGGGCATCATGAAGACCATGGAGAAGTAGGCACAGACCCAGGACATGCAGGACCTTAAAGGCCTAAAAGGGTCATTTAGAACCCCTGCAGGCCCTATATACTCCTGCTTTTGGGGACCCACTCCACATTATATTAAACAAAATATGATTTGCCCACATCCCTCATTAAAATAAAATATACAAATAACTACATAAAAGTTTATTTGAAATTTAGGATTAGTTGACAGATTGTTATATTATGTAGTCACAACATTTATTAATTTTGATTTTGTAGTTTTTTTGGAGTCAGCCCCCCCCCCCCACCTTTCCCTGCCTCAAATAGTTGTTATAGGTCCTTGACAAGATCTCAGCCCCTAGGTAGTGGGCCAGGAATGAAATGCAATGCCCAGTGGATACAAAGATCCTGTGTGTTGAGTTTAGATTTTATTTAAAGTGCCATGGAAAGTCATTGAAGAGTTTTAGCAGAGAGTGATATGATCTGATGTACATCATTTAAAGATTGCTCTGGCTTTTATGTGGAGAATGAATGAAGCAGGTAGGAGTGAAAGAGGTGAGATCTGTTAGGATGTTTTTGCGGGACTAGGGTGGTGGCCCTGGAGACATGAGTTTGAAATATATTTTGGACATAGAAGGAACTGAATTTGGTGATGGGTTAGGCAGGGTTGGGGAGGAATGGAATGAGGGATGATTCCTAAGATTCTAACTTTAATAAGTGGGTGGATAGTCTCATTTACTGAGATATGCAAGTGGGGAGGAGTTTTTTCTAGTGGAGAATTAAGAATTTAATTTTGCAGATAGTAAATTTGATATGTTAGGAGACATCCAAATTAAGATTTCAAGGAGGCAGTTGAATTTGCAAATCTGGAGGTTGGAGGAAAAACTCTAGGCTAGAGATACACTTAAGAGTTTTCTGCATTAGAGGAATATTGACATTCAAAGATTGGGAAAAGGAGGACAAGGTCTCAAAGAGATTGAAAAGGAAAATTTAGTGAACTAGCCTGGAGAAAAACAGGGAGTATGGAGTCACATAAGCCTGAAACGTAGTGCTTCCAGAATGAGCTGTCAGCTGTGACAAATGTTGCTGAGTTCAGCAATGTGTCGTTGGAAGTACTGTGGGTCCACTTTGTCATTTCCCATCTCAGGAACCTATGATGATTTTGCCTTGCCTGCCACATCAAACTCAAAGCCCTCTGCCATTTCTTTAATGTCTTCTATTATCTATTTCTCCTCTATTTGTTCATTCATTTGTTACATTTGATCCATGCCTGTTTTCTGCCAAACCCAATGTTAGCTGCAGGGTAAGTATAGTTTCTGCCTTCACAAGCACCACCATCCCTGGACATACCTATTTTATTTCTTATTAAGAAAACAAACCTGCTACTCTAGCAGAAATAAGGGGGAAGAAAAAGAGAGGGTGGGAGAAGTGTCCCCTTCTTAGCAGATTTACCCCTATCTCTTTGTGCTGAAGCTTCCATCAAAAAACGACTTCCCTCCTCCAGGTCCCACTGTAAGATTCACACTTCATAAAGCGTGTTTCTTCATTAAGTATGCTTTCTCTCCTAAAGGACACTGTAAACTCCTTGAGATGCTTTATATCTCTTTTCTATCTTTTACATACAGAATAACAGCAGATAAAAAGATGGATCTACCATGAAGCTATGGAAACTTGAGCATTAGGGCCTTCTACTTGCATAGGCCCCTTCCAATTTTGTATTCAGAAACAGCAGGTGGAAATTGAAGACATATTTTGTGATAGCCTCTAAATGAACTAAGTTAAAATATTTGTTGCTTTATCAAGCTTGCATTATTTATAAGGACTTATATGAAAACTTCAGTTATTGATTATATCATTCCTTTGCCCAAAGCATTCAATGCCTTCCCAATGCCTCTAATTAAATACAAGCTTCTCAACCTGGCCTTCAAGGCCTGCTTCAGTATGGCTGAATTTTATGTTTCCAGCCTCATCTCCCCCAAACTCTCCTTATTTTCCCCTAATGGAACCCCTTGCTGTCACCCTGGTGGTGCTGTTCATACTGATTTCTCTGCTTGGAAAGCTCTCTCTTCCAACTCCACCTTTTGACATACTAAGATAGTCATTAAGATCTTGCTTTTGGAAGAGAGGCACCTAGACCAACAACGTCACCTGAGAGCTTGTTAGATATGCAGAATCTCAGACCCTGTCCCAGACCTACTGAATCAGAATCTGGATTTTAACAAACTCCACAGAGATATACTGACTTAAGTCACTTCACAGACTACCTCAAGATTCTTAAACCTTTTAAAATGCCCTATAATGAGAAATGTTTTTTCTCCTTTGAACCTTTTTATTCTGGTACTGCTCTCTTGGGCGCTTTATTCTGCCTTGAATCTTGGTAATTATGTACAAATCTTAGTTATCTGGTTAGATTGTGAGCTCTTTGAGGTCAGTAACGGTGGAGTGAGTCGCAACTTAGAGATGAGTTACTTGATTTGGTATTCTAGCCATGTCCTGCTACCTCCCATATGTACACCCACCCAAACAAACGTGGTGGTGGTGTTTACCTGACACTTAGAATTTCACAAAGATTCAAATACAAATAGACTCAAATGTGCCATTTGTGGGCAGGGAAATTTATTACAATTACTTTTACTTAATAAAATGAGCATCTATTATTTTATCTCATTGATGTCTTGAATATCATTCCCTTTACCATTGATTGCTGCTGTGTCATAAGATTTTATCTTCATCCCTGAATAAGAGTAGGAGGAGAGCTGGCCTAAATTATTCCAAAACATCTGGTTACTGGTAACATTCTGTAAAAACTTTAGAGAAAGAAATTTTACGAATTCCTTGCAATAAAACAATATATAGTTTTTTTTCTTAAAAATATGAATTTAAAATTTCTATAAGAGATCAATGTTCACTACAGAAAAATATACATAAGTTCCCTCCTTCCCAGACACAAAAAATTAACCTAATTTTTCTACTCAGAGGTAACTACTGATAACACTTGAATACATTTCTTCTTCATAGGCTCTTTCCTGGCCAATAAATATAGATCTATATAATTTTTTTACTAGTGACATAATATTTCACTATAAGGATATATCATACAACTTTACTGAATTGGATCTGCATCATTACATTATTCCAGTTTTTTTGCTATATTCATCTTAGGATAAACTTTTCTGAAGTTAATTTCTGGTTTTAAGAGTATATCACTTATGACCAACACTGATCTACTTACCAGATCCCATCTTTTTGGTTGGTGATACATTTTTTTAAATTTAAAGACTCAGCCCTGGTCAGTTTGGCTCAGCGGTTAGAGTGTCAGCCCGTGGACCAGAGAGTCCCAAGTTCGGTTTCCACTAAGAGCATGTACTTCGGTTGCAGTTTGTCCCTGGCCCCGGTTGTGGTCATGTGGGTGGTAGCCACTCGATGTGTCTCTCTCACATTGATGTTTCTCTCTCTCTCTTCCCCCCTCTCTCCCTGCGCTATCTAAAGATAAATGCAAAAATGTCCTCAGGTGAGGATTAAAAAAAAAAATTTAAAGACTCATACACAAGTCATAAGTTCCTGGATCAGTGAAAGTTCTCAGAGTGAACACTTTTCTGTACTGAGTACCTGGATCAATAAATAAAATATTGTCAGAAAAACTACAACAGTATATCTCTGAAAATTAGGATAGGCTGCAAGTGATAGAGAACTCCAAACTACAGTAACTTAAACAAGATAGAAGTTTATTTCTCTCACATAAACAAAGTCTAGAGATAAGCAGACAGGGTTGGTGTGGCAGCTCTACAATCATCTGGAACCCAGGCTCCTTCTACCTCGTTGCTCCACATCTTCAACTTGTGGCTTCCATCTCATGGCCAGGATGTCTACTTGAACTCAAGCGATCATATCCACATTTCAGCAGGAAGGAAGCAGTGGTTGTCAGGGGCTTCAGAGGAGGGAGGAATGAATAGGCAGAGCACAGAGGATCTTTAAGGCAGTGAAACAATTATGTATGATACTATAATGCTGGATACATCTCATTATATATTTGTCAAAACCCGTAGAATGTACAAAACCAAAAGTGAACCCAAATGTAAACTATGGACTTTGGGT